AGAATCTCAATAATTCTGAGATTAAAGTCTAAAATCAATGGCCTTCCTTATTTTTACTTTTTTGTTCTCTTTGGCCAAACCTCTTCAATAGTACACAGCAAAGTTAGACTCAGAATGTTTTTGTTTGTTGGTTTTGTTTATAAGATAAGACATTATTGATCTCACAACAGAGAAATGAACTCATGACATCAGCTCTAATAAACAACAGGGTGTGCAAAAGAAGGAAAAGGTGCATCAAAGTAGTAAAAGGTAGTCTCCTTAAACCCTGTCGGCCTCAGCAGATGGCCGCTCACACCAAGCCTGGTTCTACTGGAGGTTTCTTCCTGTTAAAAGGGAGTTTTTCCTCTCCACTGTTGCTTCAAGCATGCTTGGTGTGAAGGATTGCATTATGGTCAATGAGTCGATGCAATCAAGTGGTTTTCCTTAGATAGAAAACTGGATGATCTGGTGATCTGTAAAGTGCCTTAAAGGAATAGTACACCCAAAACATGATTAGCCTTCATTTTCTACTCACCCCCATGCTGAACAACACTCTGGAGTACTTTTTTGATATCTCAAATGCATCTGGAGATCTGGGAGGCTTCTTGCTGTCTGCTGACATTCAAATAATGGAGGTCTATGGCGCCCGAGGCAGAAAGGTCCATAGACCTCCATTATTTGAATGTCAGCAGACAGCAAGAAGCCTCCCAGATCTCCAGATGCATTTGAGATATCAAAAAAGTACTCCAGAGTGTTGTTCAGCATGGGGGTGAGTAGAAAATGAAGGCTAATCATGTTTTGGGTGTACTATTCCTTTAAGTTGACATGTGTTGTGAATTGGTGCTATATAAATAAACTGAATTAAATTAAATGTAAAAAGTAAGGCAAAAACAAAATACAAAAATAAAGAATAGAGATTTAAGGTGTCGTATATGTAGACACCCCCCCTTTAAACACACACAAATGGTCTAGCTCTGGCCCTTTATATGCCATGTATAACAGATGAAATCATACTACTGCACTATAACAGACATAATCATGCTGCTAAACAAGGAGAAAGCACATTGTTTTCCAGCCCTATAAAGGAAATTAACCTTACCAGGTGGGATGGTGAAGCCAGGGGGGAGCTGAATGGTGGTCTGCTGTTGTGAAGGTCTGACAATCAGCTGGGGGGCCACTATCCGCTGAGGAGTTACCACCCCTGGCCGGGGTTGAGACTGGGCAGAGGGGGCCACCGTGGGTGTTGGAGAGGGAGCTGCGGGCCTGACCATGCAGACGGTGGTGGTCACAGATGTGGTGTGGACACATGTGGCTGTGACACACACAGCTGCAGCAGCAGCAGCAGAGCTCACAGGCTGGCTCACCGTGGTGCTGGGAGCTGATGATGCGGTGCTTGTTGCTGGTGTTATAGCGCAGGAAGCTGGCGGTGATACAGTGTTTATTACGGAGCTCACGCCACCAGCAAAGCCAGGCTGACGCTCCTCTGCTTTGGAAGCACCGGTGTCCGTGGCTTTACTCAGATCCTCCGTGGGAGGTGATGAGGAGGCGGCTTCCATCCGTGCGCCCTGCTGGACCAGAGCCGAAACGCTGGTGCCGTTCTGGGCTATGCTGGCTACGATGTGACTGGGGAGTCTGCGCAGGGCGATGGTGGGAGTCCCCCGGTCCAGAGCGATGGCTGACTGACCCACCGGGAGGTTCGCGTTGGACAGGGTGAAGGTGGAAGTGTTGATGGAGGAGGTGGTTGATCGAGTGGCGCCGGTGATGCTGTCGGTCAGGCTGCCGCTGCTCCTCCTGGTCGTTACCGCTGCGCCATTCAAACTCTTGATCCGAGCAGAGGGGGTCCTTCTCGGCGTCGCGACGCGTTTTCTCAGAGCGCTGGTCTCATCTGTGCCCGGGCTAACCTTGGAGCTCCGGCTGATGCTATCCTGCGGGGAAGCCGAGGTTGACGCGCCAGATGCGGTCAGTGAGGTGATGGATGCTCCATGTGATTGACCGCCGCCGCTGCTGCTGCTGGTGGCGCTCACACAGCCAGCAGGAGCGGTGGGAGGTTCGCCAAGAGAAGAGGAGCAGCCCAGAGACGGAGAGGTGACAGTTTTATCCACGCTGGCGTCCTTAGAGTTCACCTCCTGCCGCATCTCAGCTTTATTCCGCCGTCCTGGATGCTGTTGTTGTTGTTCTGGTGTTGTGGTACTCACTGGAGCTGGGAGCGTTTTTCCTAAGTGATGGTTAGCAGGGGCCACAGAGCTAGCGCCTCCGTTTTCGTCTGTTTTCCCCGCTGAGTTGCTCTGCCCGGTCAGCTGAGACTCCAGCGAGCCCACCAGGTCGCTAACAGCCTTCTCATCCACCTCTGAAAACAGCATATCTTCCAGGGGGTCGGAGGCGCCCGCCATCTCTGCGCATCAGATAGCAGCTTTATAGCTGGCGCACGGCGCCTGCGTGTTACTAGGCATTGTGGGAACGGGCCTGACGTCATCAGATGAGGGGGAGATCTATTTAACCCTCCAGGATCCCTGGACATTTGCTTTTTCCAAAATTATATTTAGGTAAATGTCATAAACTACATTCAATATGTGTCAATAATTGTATAAACTGTATTTGATGGCGTTTGTTAAATAGTTTTAAAAAGTCACTTTATTTTACATCCAAACTGCTATTTTATATAGCCTTGTATACAATTTCTAATAATCAGGTCTTGTGTTTTATTGTTTATTGTACTGTTAAGATATGTTCTCATGCATTACAAAGTTAACCCAAGATCTAATAATAGTATAATAATTGAATAATTGGTACTCTGCTCCTCCAGCTGTGCTTGTGCAGAAATGCGTCTTTGCGCTGCTGAGCTCAGAGTCTGCACTGATGGTTCGCTCTCAGCAGTGTTGCTCTTCCTGCCCTCGCTACTTAATAAATTATATGTTGCTAATCATCCTCTGCTAAGCGTAAAAAAAATTTTTTGTCTAACTATTCAGATTTTATTTTTTCCAGCTCACACATTTGTATTTAACCCATCCCCTTGGGGAGCAGAGGGCTGCCACTGTACATACAGATTGGATACCTTTATTTAGGATGCCATTGATGCCATTGGTACCCTGACTCATTGTGATGTTTGCCACATGTTATTCAGTTCACATCTTAGTAGAGGTTCTGGTTTACCTTTGTGTATTTCTGAAGTCTTAAATGTTTAAAAATACCTTTGAATTCAGGCATATGACTTTTGCTTTATCTTACTTCAAACAGTAGATATCACTGTTTTGTTTCAAAATAGATATTTAGGATGCTTGGTATTATTTTTGTATAATTCATTTTATTTATTTCGTAGAGTAGTGGCCGTGTGGTTAGAGCAGAGCCAGAGGCGTAGCCAGAAAATCCTAATAGGGGTGGCCAGTCAATAATCAATGTACATTGAGGGGTTACTGAAAGGCACCAGAACCTCAGGGTCAATCTACACTGTTCCAAAAGGATTGAGCACAACATCCATATTTTCTAAATAAAGAAAAACTATACTTTCCTGCAACCTTTGCTAACAAATGGGTATATTTAAACATCTATGCTGTGTAAATGAAAGGTATAGTGGAGAAAATTCTTTCAGGTTTGAGTTCTAGGGTGAAGATATTTTACATTGTCATTACCTACTTTAATCAATAATCATTCTGCAAAAAAAGATATTTAAATCTACTAATCCCCACATTTAATGGAATTTTAACTTATTATCAAATTAGTTATTTATCTATGATTTCACTGAAGACTCATAGGTGACTTGATTTGGCATGAA